AAGGGATAAAATAACCCGATTTGTTTACCGCCCATACTATTCAACATAATACAGAGATATGACGGATTATATATTAACTGCCTAAAACAAAGTCCAGAATATGATGGAAGGTTGAATGGGTTAGTAAAAGTGGACATATTGCCATTTCAGAGTATTATATAATTATCTTGGTAGAGACGGGATACTTTACTGGAGTTTATAATTTGCGTAGAATGTGGGAATTACTGCAAAGCAGCAAAGAAGTTATTATAAAATAATAAATCAGGTACAAGTACTACAACTGTTACAATTAACAAAATCGAAGGCAGAAATTCGTAGTACTTACAGCTTTTTAGTAGAACGCATACAGAAGGATTGTAGAATTAAATACGATACATGCCATAAGGGTTTTAAAATAGTCAGGATGGCAGTGCTATAAATAACTGAACATGACAAGCTATATTTGTAACTAGTGTAAGAAGACTGTAAATAATATCCATATTTAAGAACAACGGACGCAGAACGACTATATTATACAGTAAATATATTAGAATCACAGTACAATCTTAATACACTGTATAGGAGTAGGAAAATACTGATTCTTAGAGATAATATTAATTCCTACGGAAATTAATTATCATTCATTTGATTAGACAATATCCATCTGCGTATATTCGCACCAGTACATTAACAATAATTATAGGGCAAGTAAATCACCTCATAATGTAGTATAAACCACAACGAAAGATTTTTGAATGCTTGAGGTTTAAATCAAGTAATGTATTGAAGCAGAAACGGCATGGATCGTAATTTAGTAATCTCAAGTAAACATCAAGTTCAGTCACTAAAAGTCCGGGATAAACTCAAATGAGATGCAAATACTGGTAATAAATTATCACTTAATAAACTCAAGACGACATTATTATAACTACAATATCGTATTAGTATACCTTCAGAGGAAATACTAGCTTTAAACCTCTAAGTTCAGTTAGAAACTTCAGAATTTCTAAATTTTACGTAGCTTAATGAATGTTAAAATGGTTTATGTAAAATCTTAGCCTATAGTCTTACTTATATAGAGCTACTGATTTTATCCTTCCTATTGAAGTTAACAATATAATTGCAAGTATTCTATGCCGTATATTTAAATTAAGTAGTTAGAGTGGTCTGAAAGGTAAAAAGTCTATTATGATCTCTCAAAGCTTTAGCAATAAATTACAACCTAAAAGTCAAGAATTGAAAGAATTGAAAATTATGCTATTACGGTTGCTCGGTACTACAACTTAAGATATTAATATACTTCAAAAAGAATTACAGCAGAAGTTATGAGTAGATACTACTATCAGCAACCTTTGCGTCTGGAAATAACTAATATCTCTATATTTTGGCTTAAAAATTGAAAATTGATTGAAGCTAATTTTGTATCTAGATTATTTTTGTCAGTTTTGTATTCGGATCCTACAGATTATCTACTTAAATTTATAAATTTATCCAATCTCCAATAGTTTAGCTAGAAATTTTATCCTAAGTATATTTTTAATTTTTGACCTAGTGAGATGTACAGTACACTTTCTTGTTAGTTAAATTAACTTCATCTCCTTCTATTTAGTGTGTCAATTTATTTGAAATCTCGTATATTTTCAATTTGGATGGAATGAGGTTTGTTACAGATCTTTTCTACTATCAATATTAGAACAATAAAAAATATACTAATTCAATTAGCACTTATGCACAAACGGCCTTTGCCCACATAGCACTACAGTATTAACCATTCGAATACTTATTAATCAAATCATTATTTTTAAATCTAATCATTAAGATTATAGGCTCTATATTAATTCCAATATCAACCTTATTAAGTGTGCCATAAATGTATTGTTAAATGCTCATACCTATCTTAGCTTACACCTCTACTCTTACTGTTTTTTTTTGCGTGCATACAGGATGTAGCATATAATTATGATACAGATATGGGTTTTATTACACATTCAGTTCTTGCCTTTCAATATAATCTTATTATAAAATAGCAAATATCTCCCTTCCTTAATCTTATTTATCCTTTATTCGGGATCTGAATTTTTCCATGCATTATTCTTTCTGATATGATGTAAAATAAATAGCCATTCTTTGATATAAGTGTAGATAGAGGTTAGTAAGAGAAATTTGGGCTATAAAACTAAGAATTATCGACATGTTTCACGGTAATTCATCCGGCGTTTCCAAAAGTAGATCAGTTGTTACATGTTAAAAAAATCACTAGTACAAATTCACGTCGCTTTGCTGACGGTTTACGATAATGTACTTATTTGTTAATTAACAGATAGTATTACCATTCGACATTATTTATATCCCGGTAATAGCCAGGCACTACTATATTCACAGCTATGCTAGTAGAATACCACTTTTCAATAATGCATTCACGGATGAAGTGCTTTATTAAGATTAGTTAATGGTCCAAAGCACATTATGATAACTAATGTACGGTGATGGACATACCAAGTTAAGATTAGCAGGTACTGTAAGATATCTACAGACTACAGTGCTGTACAATGTCCTTAGTACTGTGGTCAATTCTATTCCAATCATTATAATGTGTCTAAGGATCGCTTGAGTATGCAAGCATAGCTTGCTCTATCGATAGCAACCGTTATAAGAAAATGTAATAATCAAAATGGCTGTGTAGAAAACTCTATAAAGATTCTACGTTTATTCAATTTTCATCAGAATATTACATGAAATCAAAATTGAAAGGGCCCAGTAGCCACCATTAGCAATATAACGAATACTATTTTAATAATCAGTACTCTGCAGAAATGACTACCTTAGAGCTATTCGTTTTACGTGAAGAAATCTTGAGGTAACAAATACTGTAAGAATCTTATACTGACCTATTGAAATCAACCCATAATCAGAGTCATCTAACAGTAGTATAAATAAAATACCCCCCGCGCTGCTCGTTTCAAGGAAGGCTGGGCGGGATATTAACTATGGAACGCGGGAAGACATGAATGGTATCATAGATAATGTTACAATTTAAGCAGTTAAGTAGCCCTGGATTAATGCTCGACCTGCAATATGGATATCATAGATAAGTGTGCAATGTATAGCTTACTTGAATAATTTATACAGCAAAGAAACGTTCGCTTATGGGGCAGTTAAATCCTACTAATCAGGCTAATTACACATAATCAAGATGCAGCTTGGAATCTCGCAGCACAAATAAATCAATTGTAGTGATTAGCTACCATGCATCAAGCGGATGAATATTGATAGAAGGTGCCTCGATAATATACTCACTAGTCTTAATAGGGTACTTACAACGAAATAATCCTATTTGATGTTAATATATGCTCAACAGTCGTTAATAAGCAATTTACGGTAAATGGCATGTATACAAATATTCATATACTAATAAAAGTATAATGGAAATTGATTTACATATCAAATTGTCAGCGAGTTTAGAACCTATGGTGGATGTAATCGCAATAGTAATCACATGAATATTAATGATTTGATGTACTGTTGAAAAATATTTATTATGACATAACCTGAATTAAAGCTATAAGTTAAAGGCTAGTTATCGGTAAAATGAAACGAAATCGTACATATTCATGAGTACAATGTCCAGATCAACAATGTCTTAGTAATCATTTCAATAAATTTGATTAAAAAGTAGAGTAAAATTATAGATATTTAGCGTTGAATATAATACATAATAGTAGTACATAAAATTGCTGAAGCTGTTCCGTATCTGTACATTGATAGTATTAATTTCGTCACAATTTTTAGACCATAATTTCGTAGATTATGAGAATTGAAAAGTCACATTTTTAGTGAAGATTGGAATAGCAATGATTTTTGTACAGCACGTGAACAAGCATTTTATTAATTTATTGTGCATATCCTCAAACCGTTAAGAAAACATTGTTGAAATAGAGGTGTTTATTAATATCGTATTGCATGGCTTACCATATTCTTTTCGGTTTATTGCGGCGATTAAATCACTATTACTTGATGATAATATTCGATAGTTATGATCTTATTTAAGTTGACTGAAATGACGCCTCTACAATTACTGTACAATGTTTAAATTTATCTTCTCTTTAATTTACTTGTTTTCTCTTACCCTAATAGCATGAAGGTAACAGGTTAATATATATTGATGGATATTTCTACAGTAAAAACAAGCATGCTGAAAGTGTCCTTTATACCAATTTTCAGGAATTAAATTTAAGGGATTGGCACGATAATGGGTTAAAACAACATAGACCATAAATCACCTAGGGCTCAATTTTGTTTGAATAAATAGCCACAATGATATAGTATTCAATTACGGATCTCATTAAATAGTAATATGCAAATTTTATATCCCATTTTTTTGTGATCAAATTAGGCGTCGCTAATCTTATTAATGACTCTCCTCCAGTTCGATAGCTAAATAAACATTCTATTTTACAATACTATTGGTCTCGTGATAAGCGATTTAATCTATCACCCTTTATCTTCATTAATTTTTTACCGTAGTGCACTAATATTCTATTCAATTTCTTAATTACCGGCGGCAGTTTTATTTTTATATTGTAAAAATGAACGGAACATACTAGCTTAAGGTAATATGAAAGGCTTTATGAACACATTTATCTAAGGTTTGTATTCATCTATCAGTGATATAAATTCATGGAATTTTCATCTGCTTTATCCACATAATCTGTAATTCTGAAAAATTGTGTGTCATCCTCACGATAGAGTATCTAAATACTTACGGTAAGCTATGTTATTTGTTGAAGGATTAGTTATTTATTTACATTATTAATGGATTACAACAGTCAATCTTGACATTGTCATCAATGACAGCAATTGACTCCGTTATTCGAGCAAGGTTACGCCGAAGTTATAAAAATAACGCATAGTTTATTGTACGTTGTTATTCTTGCATCACCAAGTCTATCTTCGTTGCGATAATGGCATTTCTTACTACCTTGCTCCTAACACTGGCAATTGCTGGAACGACCATCGCAGATGTCGATCCTACCAGCTATTCCCATCATAGCTATACTCAATTGCGATCTTTTATGCAAAATCAAGCCAACCGTTGCCCCTCTATCATGAGATTGTACGATATCGGTACATCCGTTGAAGGTAGAAAATTATACGTTATGGAAATTTCTGACAATCCAGGACAACATGAGTCTCTTGAACCAGAACTTAAATATGTTGGCAACATGCACGGCAATGAAGTTACTGGACGTGAATTGTTGTTGTTTTTGATCGAATACATCTGTACCAACTATCCTAGTGATACTCGTGTTAAGAATCTTGTAGATTCTACTCGCTTACATATCATGCCCACCATGAATCCCGATGGTTGGGAAAGAGCTCAAGAAGGCGATTCATCTGGCGTCACTGGCCGTTATAATGCTCGTGGTATCGATTTAAATCGTAATTTCCCTGTCTCTACCAACTATGTCCGAGGTTTAATCCAACCTCGTGCTGCTGAAGTCGAAACAACTGCTGTCATTAACTGGATTGCAAGCTATCCATTTGTAATCTCCGCCAATCTTCACGGTGGTGCCTTGGTTGCTAACTATCCATATGATGACAATCTTCAACATTCTGCTGTCTACAGTCCTACATCTGACGACGACATTTTCAAGGACTTATCTAAAGCCTACTCTTTTGCTCACGCTTCTATGTCCAAGGGTCGTCGATGCCCTGGATCTTCCGAATCTTTCCAAGACGGTATCACCAATGGTGCCGACTGGTATCCTTTGACTGGTAATTTCTCATGAATTTAACGATATGATAATTCTAAGTGTATTTATCTGTTACTAATTTATGAATGATTTAGAAAGGTTTCTTTTGGATGTAACACTTATATGCCATGATAAATACTGTAGTTAAATGTAATATAACTTGCTAACAAGTTATACCGACATATACGCTATAATAACCTAAGTTCTGGGATGTAAACTTGTTATTTCCTTCTCAAATAGGTGGTATGCAAGATTACAACTACCAACAGAGCAATTGCTTCGAAATTACTTTGGAACTTAGCTGCACGAAATATCCAGTAGGCAGTCAACTATCTGGCTTCTGGCAAGATAACAAGAACGCTTTATTGACTTATATGGAACAAGTTCACCAAGGTATCAAAGGTATCGTTACTGATAATCAAGGTAGCAGAGTCTCTGGTGCTTCTATTTCTGTCCAGGTTAGGATTCTAATTACTAATTACAACACGTAAAATTATTTTTTATTTTTATTGATGGCTTTAGCACTGATCATGTTTACAATATTAGTGTTCTCACAAGTGATAATTCATGGTATACATTAATTACATCAATCAAAACTGATATCCATATGCAATAATAATTATACATAATAGGGCCGTGGTAAAGTAATCAAATCTACCACTGATGGAGAATACTGGCGTCTTCTTCTACCTGGTACTTACTCCGTTACTGCCTCTGCTTCTGGTTTCTCCTCTACCACCAAATCTGTAACTGTTTCTTCTAGCGGTGTTAGCCGTGTCGATTTTACTATGACTCCTGGTAGTGGTGGCCCACAACCAACTGATCCCCCAACTCAGGCACCAACTCAACCGGCTTGGTGGTTTTAAATAAATTTCTTGATCACGTAAAGAAAAAAGTGATTTATATTGATAGAGTAAGATGCAGTTATATTTTAGAAATCACACCTAAATACCGGTGAAATAGCTATGCACATGTTATACCTTTGTATCGCATTAGATGCAATATTCGATAGAACTATGCGTTCTAACGATGTGATGTGAAATATATGAGCATTAAATAAAAAGTATTTTGGCAATTAATAAAATTTTATGGAAAGAACAGACTATTTACGGCTGAACTGTTTACACCAACCTAATTGTACCCAGCTTCTAATTGGCTTTCAAGCGGTTTGAGTTTACATCTATAGTATTCTAGGCGATGTGAAATGGGACAGATATCGACATTTTGATAGTCGAAATTAAAGGGTATTATAGCGTATATTAAGTTACTGTATTATCCTATCAAATTTATAATTCTTACAGCGTACATTAATCATTACTTTTAAGTCATGTATGCTATACCGCATATTTTTAGCATAATAAAAATACGCTGCGGATGCTGTGTTAGCTTGCTGCTATGTCATATAATCATGATTACATCACTAACTAATTATTAGGGAGGCTTCAAAACAATTGGCTAGTATCGTAACTGATACTATACCAACAAGTATAAAATCTATATAGCAATATGATCGTTGATTACTATACAGGAGTATTCAATCTTATCATTTATCGTATTAACCTCATTGCTACACTGCAATAAGCTAAATAAAGAATATTCACTTCCAAACGACTAAAAATCACGTAATTTAAAATCATGAATATCGTTATCAATGATCATTTTGGAAATTAGAAGCATTTATTACGTGAGATAATATTGGTAACTTTCACTATAGGCCTAATTCTCAATAAATACCAATACATCTTATTTAGCCTACAGCTCCATAGAATTGCAAGATATACGCACATCATACAGACCATAAAATTTTAAATTAGGTGCATAATAAAATGATAAAAGATATTATTTGAAGAATTGATAGCTACCGTATATCGCATTTCAAAGTGAATGTTATGAAATCAAATCGTGAAAGTACCATTAACTACTTTACTTTTTTTATAATTCTAGTCATGAACGATAATATCGTCTCCATAAGCCGCACTCACTCATTTTAAGATTCTAATTTATATTCTTCAGCTTTCAGGGAGTACATTTCCGCTGACAATGTAAGTAAAACCAGGTTTATCTTCTCAGAGACGATAAGGCACCCTTTAATTTAAACCCTTTTAATAAAACGCCCTAGTATTTACGTAACCTATTTGCCTTTATCAGCACTGAATATTGAATGGCGTTAAATTCTTTCTTTACAAAATTATTCAAGCATAAAACGCATTTGCGGTAGATAATTAATATATTGTATTAACTATGGAACAGGTGAAGGGCATACTTATAACAAATCATAATTTTGTACCAGAATCGTGCAATGAAAAATAATGTTTACCGTTTAATTGCATGTGAATAATGATCTTCGATTGAATAGAATGCACAATTAAATAGAGAGCCATCGTAAAATATATGATACTGAATGTAAATCGAGGCACGTAGAATAAAAATATGTTCTGTGGTACCCAGAAACTGGAATATATTTCTTGATAATTGGTTGAAATGAGAGGTATGGGCATATCCAAGGACAACTAAAAATTGACCATGGTCTGTTCTAGTAGTCCATGACATATCCCAATCAAGATTAATTACTAGATCTAATTACATAATTATATCTGATGTAATCGTTTATGCCATGTTTTATTTCATAACATCTTTAAAATTTGTGACAGCGATTTGTCTTATTGCTGTCTATTGTGGCACAGTGCGAGATAGAGATAAAATTGGCTGATTTATAAATAAATCATAGTTTGCTCAATGAAAGTGAAGAGATAGTTTAGAGATGTATTAATTTAAACCAAAATCCTGCTGCTACATTAACAATTATACAATTATCGTGCATGATATATATATTAATCTTACATCAGATATTGCCAAATAGCTGACTAATTGCTGATAGAGTGTTGAATAGCGTTATATTTAGGATAAGATATCGATAGTTCATTTCACCTGTTATACATAATTAACTTTTTTACCGTATGGTCTATAACAATTAACATTGTTGTCTTTTAAACAACTAAACAACTAAACAACTTACACCTTTTTACTTAAGTAATCATCTAATCATGAAAAGCACGATGATGGTATGTCTTTACTCGTATTACTAAAGCCACTTTTGTAAATAGTAGTCATTGGGTCTCATTTTCTGGAATGAGAAACTAGCATCGGTCAAAAGGAGTAGTATACAGTGACGATATTTATTGTTTCTTACTATTTTTACTGACCGGAATACGCTATATCCGCTCTCTTATTATGTAATTAATAAAGGCTACTACCAATACATGAATAAACTTTCCAATATTGGATGAGATCTCAGTGTGGAGGTATTACAGATGTTAAAGGGCTTTATCAAGTCCTTTTTGTCTTTTTAATTAAAGTAAGCGATTTTTCATTATAACGTTATGATATCGAAACAGTACATTAGCTTTTATAGTACATAATATAACTAAAACATTCTTAAAATGATTCATAATTAACCAATACTAATTTAATTATTTGTTCTTGTATAGTGCCACTTTAGTGAGCACTATCTCTATCCAAAACTATATGTATGAGTCTTTAGGAAATCGTGGATCGAACCTAAAGTATTTTAGCGTTCAGATTTTATAGGGAAAGCAGGCAGAGGATTTATGTGGTACTATCGATAGCCAGAGATCTTATATATTTAACATATCGAGCTCGTTGCTCCTATAGGATTCCCTATATGTTCACTCTGACTATGCCTATCAACCATACAATTGCTGTTAGGCTATTTTGATTAAAGTTGCTGTATAATAACAATTCTGCGTTGTATTACGAGCGTTTCCATAGCAACTCCAGCATCTAAGGCTATACGATATACATCTCAGTTCTTGACATAGAGCTTATTTTTTGTATCAGTTAATTCAGGATTACTCTACTAATAGTAATTAGACTATAGAGGGCTTGATCAGCAATAACATTCCACGAGTTTATTTAACTGCAATATAGCGATCTTGTTCGTATTGATACCATTAAATTAGACCTGGGAATACTCTGCAATATTACCTTGTGTTGGATGCCGAATTGTCTCAGGATCGACTACATGTTTCAATTAAGATCACTATTTTAAAGGCTTAAACATCAACAATATTCTACCACCGATACGATCATATCTTAAATTTCATAATATAATCATGGTGTTGACGTTCGGTCGTGAGCCGCTTTTACATCAGCGGTATAAAAATTTAGAAATTATTAACGTTGAAGAATTGCCTGAAATTGTATCAAAGTATAGAAAAGATCCTCCCAAGGAGAAAAAGAGCAAAGAAGAAGAAATACATGATTTTCCCAACTTTATTCGGTACGTTTACACCTATGATACTGGGTACAGTGGTTAGGACAATTAACAATTAAAATATTATAGCGCAATCACAGTGGTGATGCTAACTTAAACTAGTAAAATAGGGTAGTAAATACTTTATGTGAAATAATTTTATCTTCATTTATTTTCTTACTTGACTTGGTAATATCCGTATCTATAGTACGGCCGTCAGAACAATTTAATGTAGTTAACGTTTCAATTTTTGCGATGCTATATTGCACGATCTTAATAGTGATCAACAACAAGAAAGGAAGGGCGGCCCTCTAGGATATCTAGATTCGGAGCGTTATATTAAAACGATCAAGAAGAAAATTGTACACCATGATGTAAATTATCCTAAGCGTGCTAAAGATGTTGTCAGCTTGAGTCAACAAATGACGGATCATGAACAGCAGTTTGGACAACATATGAAAGCTATCGAAGATCATATGTGGAAGCATAAACAAGAAGAGCGTGAATTAAAACGTGCTGAAGGAGATATCATCAAATCACAACAGACATTGCGAAGAACGATGAGAGTTATTGAAAAGTGTATGTAAATCACTGTATCGTAGAAATATCCTATATATTATGGATGAATATGATGTCAGTAAGATTAAATTTCATATGCTTTATTATCTTGAAAGTATAACTTTTAGGGAAAAATAATTATGCTAGTGAATGATACAAAATATATTTTTGAGACTGTTAAAAATCTTATTTATTTATAGTTCGTTCTCGTGTTCAAGTGGAATGATTAAATTCTTATTTCAGAGATTGGATTAGTTAGTGAGATAACATCTGATTTGCTTCAATTTATTAATAGCAATTAGCAAGAAAGATCGAGCGGAAGAGCAAATGATTCGAGAAAATGATGAACGAATAGTTAGTACTAAAAGACAGCATGATCGATTAAAGATCGAGGTATTATATTCTTTACAATAATAAAAATTGGTAATTAATATTGATTTCAGTGACTTATTCATATTTTAATCTAATCACTTTTGTACTTTTTAATTTAATTTAATAGGATACTAAATTTTCCATTAACGATCGGATAAACTTCTCTCAAAAAATTAAAGACGCTGGAAGAAAGCACACATTAGTATCGTAAGTTTTACGTTTTTTAATATATTTTTGCTCTTGATATGGAATCTAGAATATATATGATATAATAAATGCGATTAATAATTGATGTGCCTATTGCTTTAGTTTTTGTGTTAGCATTTATAATAATAATTATGAAATTATTACAGAAACGAGCTAAAAAGGAAGTACGAAGCAGTAGCCGCTAAGTTAGCATTGAAAGAGCAAGAGCTAGAACATTTATCATCAGACTTTCAGCAAAAATTTAAACATAACGAGGTGAAGCAATGGCGGCTATCTTTGATAATATTAGTACCTTCAGACAGCAGATTATTAATTAATCTGGATCGAATATTCATATTATGACAGGAAGAGCAATTTAAACTAAAACAAGAGCTCGCAGATTTATCTTTATCGACCAATATGGAACTACAAGCAAGTAGAAAGAAGATCTTGGAAGATCAAGAGTAATTTTAATCTTTCTTTAATTTTATTAGCTACTACGTTCTGTATTGATGTCATCTAATTTATCGCCATTATTTTAGAGTTCATAAGCAACTTATATCATCGAAACTTCGCGTACGTTATTTTAATCTTAGCGACTTTTGCTTTGTGCTGTTAGCCTTTTTAATAATGTAAAGTCAATTATAGCGCTTTTTATTTCTTATTCAAATAATTTGGGAATGAAATTTTTGATTATAGGATAGCTTAGATAAAGATGTTGAAGTTGAAAAAAATCTAAAGTAAGTTAAATTAACTGTATGCACTTGTTCGGATACCATTATTCGTTAATTTTGAATTGCGTAGTTTAATACGTAAGTTTTCTTTTAGTCCCCTGTACTAAGTTTCTTGAAACAAAGATTATCAGACGAATAAGATTATTTATCTAGTAATAAATAATTAAAGAAATCAAGATGGCTGTAGAGTGTTACTACAGCTTACTTAACTAATTAGTGAATTTATAATGATATCTTTTTGATTTATAGTACTATGGAAAGTGTATCCAATCAGTACTACTTTAATAAAAGAAGGTTTAGTAACGAACTTCGAAATGCGAAGGAGTCTCTATCGGAGAAGAGTCGCGATGGTATGTCAGCCTTCACTCATTAGTATATCAGTAATTATTTTTTCAGTCATTGCTGATCAATTGCTTTCTTTGCTTTGCTATACCGGTCTACTATTTATGGAGAACAGAAGGAAGAGCAATGACTGATATTCGTACTAACTTGCAACGTAATTCACAAGCGCAACGAAGGGCTCAAGAAAACGCAGAATATTTAGTTAGAGAAGCCAAAAGGCAACAAATGATCGATAAAGTCGAGGTAATAATTTTTATTAACTTTTGATTTCTGGCGGCATAACTATACCATACAACCGTGTAAAGCAATTAAAGAATCTAACTATTTGCGAATATTTGTTATTGTTTTAATCCAAAAATTAGCAAGTGGAGGCTCGAAGAAACGCTGTCTTAGAAATGCAAATTCGTGGAAAAAAGCAGAGAAGTCAAGTAAAACTAGATGATTGGCAAAAAAGGTTGAAAGAGAGGAATTACAATAGTACTAGACGACGGCATGAAGATGCTGTAAAGCAATTGAAGGTAGAATTATTAATGCCAAGCCAATAAATTTATAAGGAAAAATATAACGGAATTTTGCAATAGGAATTATAATATTTCAGCTTTGTTTAATTAATGAATTGTTCGCCATTGCAGAGGATTGTCACTAAAGAGGAAGCTGCAGAATATAATTTGTATACAAAGGTCAGGGAACACGGTAGTATGTATCGAAAGCAGGAGCAAATTCAGAACAAGTTAATGAAAGATCTAATATTGTTAAAAGAAGATAACGAAGCTAAATTAAGGGTATGATATTTTAATCGAGTGATATTGATCGATAGAACCGAGCTTAAGTTAACTTAAGTATCAACATGCATAATATTTCGATGATGATCTGAGTTCTATGTGTCAATAGCTATATCTCGTTCGAATTTGTAATTTACTCTTACGCTATATGACCATGATAATTTTGACATAATTAATCGCTATCGTTTGTATGTAGCGCGCAGCGGCTGCAATGCGCAAGATGGAACTAGAGCTAGAACATCAAATAAGAAAGCAAGCAAGTGAACGCGATAAGGTATTATAAACTACTGTATATCGCTGTATAATTCAGTAGAATATATCGTAAAGATTTAACTAGTGTAGTATTTGATAGCTAATCATTCCGGAAAAATACAAGGAAATTATACATGAAGGAATTGGCTTGATTAAGTGTAAATAATAGTTATATGACTTTAAGCGTATTAATAAATCGTGCAATTGCTGCTTTCAATAGCATTTCCATGCAAGAAATGAAAGCCAAAAACTGTTACATCATCATAGACTTCGAGCAGAGGAAGACAAACATCTTCTAGTAGAGGAAGAGAGGGTAAATATCTTAAGCTAAATGTAGTTATAAGCATGTATTTTATTAGTAGTACGGTACATAAATTATATTTTTCGAAATTGAGACGTAACTTGAAATTTTTAAAGTTTGATGAACCAGGTTACTGATTTACAACATAGAATATTATTGATAATAAAGAAAGAGTAATATTATTTACTTTACTTAAAGATTATAATTATTAAGATAGCTTGTTTTCCTTATCATAAGTAAATCAAGTTACGATTTTCTGACTGTTTTTATTATTGCTATAGGAACATAATCGATTGCAACGTATAGGCACAAAATCGGAGGATTATACGGTCTTGCAGCCGATTTAATTATGAGTCAATGGATTAAGCATGGCGTATTTTCTGGTAATGATTTCAGATCATATTTGCTCTAACATTGATTAATGATATCTTCATTTTTATTGCATATCAGCATCAGATAATTTGTTCAAATTATTAAGTTACGTATTATTATAAAGCAACTGGTATATGTTTATCTGTTTCAACTACAGTGTAAATATTCGATTTCTACAGAAGTTGCGTTGTAAGATCTCAAAAATAGAATTGACCTGGGACATCTAGGATAATAACTCCAACAAGCCTATAAATATATCAAAAGACAATCCAAGATGTTTGGTAAAGTTAGTTTGCAGTTAAGGCGCTAGGATATTTTAACCGTGATGTAAGCAGACTAGCCAAATTATATCATTATACGATATGAGTATAACAATTTTATATATCGCTATAAACTGACTTCGGTTCAATACTGAGATGATATTAAAGTTGTTCTATTTATTTAAAAGCCGACAGCGCTAGCTAAGTAATTATTGCAATTATTTTTAGCATAACGACGTAAATTGTATTACATATTGTATTTAGAAGGATAGAAAACATTTATAACTTTATATTCTTTGATAAAGCAATGGTACCAATCTACCAAAGCAATTATTCCTTACTGTAAAATAATTTTTCCTAAAGTAAATTTTAGCTCTTTATTTTTATTACAAGATATTTTATATTTCTATACACAAATGACATATGACTAAGTAATAGTGGGGTATTAGTATGATCGTACTATTAAAGTGTTATACAGTCTGCAGGAACATTCGATATGGCAGAAAATGTTGCTGTACATGTACCGTCATATGTTCTGTTCAACTTGTAGAGGAATAATCATGTCCGTATATTAAGATCATTACTTTGTAGCATAATCTTAATAAAGACAAGGCTATTTTTTTAAGAAACAAAACTCAGGCTTGTGAAGTTATACCCTATTGCCTCCAAGAAGTTCTACATGAATTTAGAATTAATCCTAAAAGTATGCAACTACCTATGGATTGTATTATTAATGTAACTATCTGTTCAATATATGCAAAATACTCTCAATTTCAGTCTTTATTGACCATTTCTCGACCGGAATCGATTAAATTACGACAATAACGAGACGTGGATTTTTAATGTATTATTTTGCTACTTTGTGAATCATTTGTAATTTCCGTTTCAAGCAGAGCTTATTTAAAGTCCATTCAGACCCGTTGTTTGCAGTTAATAATATTTATATGACTAGGTTGGGGACCTGTAAATTACCAGTTGGGTGGTTTAGGTTTGTGCATATGCGTTACTGTAAATTGATGGTAATCACTAGCAGGATCTGCGGAAATTGCACAAAATTATTATTTTGAATCAACTTGTATAAACCATCGTATGCGTAGAATCTTATCAAAGTAGATTTAATATAATTAAATGAATACTGTACATTGGATATAGCATGATTCAATGAATAATCGATCCATGTAAAAATTGACTAATCGGGTGCAATCCTGCTGACTCGAGGATTAAAAAACCGCAGCTTTTATACGAGCACCATCTAAGTGTATCATTGCAATGCAATGTAAATTAATTTTAGGTTTTAAACAGTGAATCAGTCCCTATATGTAGCTACAAATACAACGCGTCCGCGGCACGGTGCTTATATCAATATATCCAATTAGATCGATGCGTTCTTTAACGTCAAACTAAACATGGTATAAATGATTAGCATTGATTAAATACATGCAAGGATTCTCATACTGTATCCATTGACTACCGATTTATGAAAATGCGATGGAATAGGGTTATAATCCATCTATCGTGACACCATAAACAGCCATTTGTAGTGGTATCGAACTTGCAAAATGATTTTACCCTCTCTCATAAGCAAAACTAAGTTCAATATTTCCAAATAGGAAGCTATTTGCGTTTCAGCAGTGGAACCATCATCGAAGTAATTTATCATTCGTATATAAAGCTAGATCTGGGTATAAGGAAGTTTGTGTTTGCGACACTGCTATGTAGGCACTGAAACATATTACAATAAATGCTGTGACAGTATAGCAAAGATAGGAGATTGACACAGAGCCCTATCATCGCAATTTCAGTATTGAACAGAGTGGATGACGTCATCTATGCAGCGATACTTGTACGTACCACAGTACAGGTCACCGACGCCTGATTCATTCGCTCTACTGTATGCCATACCTAACTCAGTGTATGATGGGAGTATAGTGCAGACTCGCATAACCTGTCGATCGTGTGAAATACTGTAGGTCGCTACAACAATCACGTCAGTCACTAAAATGACGGAGGCAAAAACCAACTCGGAGCTGAATTTGCCATTCCAATTGTCAAGCCTTAAGTATAAAATAATAAGAGAAAATCATCCGAATGTATCAAGCAACGATTCTACTCATAAGTCTGCCATAAGCGAACGGGTAAGAAATCCAAGATTCCATTCGTTTACAAATCAACAGTAATAAAAAAGACTAATCTTTGTTGTCAATGCTTGAACTCGTATGAACATCGCTAGCCCAGTTGGTAACTTGACTGTCAACAGTAGACTCCAATAGCGCAAACAACAAAGTGACTGATTAATGCGACAGTGATGATGACATGCTACGCAATGATAGGATATTATTATCATCACCATTTGTACAAGTCAATTGCCACGGCAAGTGAAAAGAAATCTGACAACGTTGTACTTTCCAATATAAAATGCAATCCACTTGCAGTGGCACATTTGTACATGATAATGTCCATAGTAGAAGAGTATAGCAATAAACTTCATGCATGGAACGAAACGCAACTAGAATATGTATGTTATTGAAATGCAAGGCAGCATGAGTCATGGTGTTGTTGTCTTCCTGTATGTTAAACTAGCTGAATGACACTAAACTTACGCCAAGAAATCACTTTCAACACTTTTATACACAGCCTGTTAAGAGAGGGCATGGCCTACGAATGATTGATGAGAAAGTAAAAACAGGATAATTACGTATGGATTGGTCAGTATTTTGAAATTGATCCAATCAATCATTGAATAGACACTTGTAGTCAAGTAGACGTATTTATTCTATTTTATTTACCGTATTCTATAGATGAGTGATATTTCTTTAATAAAACTATGCGGGCTGTAAATAAAACATCAACTTTTTTATTGAGTCTATACTTCAATTCAATGACTGAAATTGATTTGATGCCTCGGGCCAAAAAGAGATTGACCTTTCTTATCAAATTCTCTAAAACAATACGTAGTCTTGTTATTCATGACCGTTGCTTATCCATCCATCCAATCAACATACAGAATAGATTATCTATGAGGATGCTTGTATAAATCGCAGTCTCACTTTGATCATTAGATGTGGTAGTGGATGGTGTCTGAATTGACTGGCATCGCTTAGCATACGTATATTCGCATTACCTTAAGTTAACATTGCTTTTACCCTGTTGATTTGATCTTGTTCCGGCGTAGTTTTACGGCCACCAATTGTTATCCCTTCTCAAATTTGAATATCACAACAATTTCTTCATACTGTAGTGTTATATTTGTCAAACAGCGCTACATTACCATCTTATAAAATTCAAGCTACCCCTTGTTGACTGATATAGTCTGTTGTAGTAATACGCGTAAACTGCTTTAATTTAACTACAATAGATAAGCCAAGATCTTACCTCCTTTACTTGCTGTAAAGAATTCATTTTTGGAATACCCACATTTTAGGGGCTAATTTTATTGCAGTTAACGTATCGTTAGACTTACTTGCATAAGTGTAACCATGATAGCAGTTGATGATGGTTTGTTTACCCCGGATAAAGATGAGGTAAATTTAAATGACAATCTTATGAGTACAAATAGATACAGTATGCTATAGTAGATATATGTACTACAACTCGAAATCAACTTATTCTTAATGTTACTATCATCTTTAATCTGGCATTAGCATAGCCACGTATATTATGTTTATATACCAACGTACGAGTATCGATCGTTTATTCCACTGCTTAGTGCCTACAGAGTTTTTGGTTGAGCTTTTTTTCTTGCAGCTTCAGTAGTTAAAACTTTTACTATGGTCTCTAAAGCGAGCGCTTTACCATAAAATGTTCTACACTTGAAATGCTAATTTTCGCTGAAGGAAATTATTACAATCGTACCATGATGACGACATTGAGGTGTAGAGAATTGACCGATTGCAATTATTGATATGGTGTTTTTACCTGTAGGTCAATTATGCTATTAGTATACTACACAACAATTACTACTCATTTGTATCTTGAAAATATGTCTTATTTTAAGGCTATAGGCAAGTGATTTTCTTGATGATACATATCAATAGGTTGTATTATCAGTTGGATTTTAAAATTTTGAGATAATCTATTAATAATATTCGTACGATGATGTAATTTTTATTTGCCACCCAACTACGTATACGAATAAATTAATGTTTTGAAATTCGTTTCAATTTAGGCTTGCTTGGAGCCGTATCAATATATCGTCCAGATTCCAGGAAAAGAGATTCGTGTCAAACTGATTCAAGTATGTATAGTTCAGAATGAATTCTGAACATCTTGATGTAAGAAGAATAAATAATATGTAGCAGAATAAAGCCACAAATTGTTCACATATTTCGAGAATGAGCGATGAATTACTACTATATTTTCTATTCAGGTTACGAGATGTGTAATTTACAGTAGTAGTCGCTTACAACTACCTTATAAGGTACAAAGTCCATTGATAAGAATGTTATGATCTGTAACTACTGTACTTAGTAAATTACCAGTAAGCTTTTGTAATTTCCTAGCTCTTCAGTAGCAGAATATTAGCACATTTGATACATACTAGCTTTAAGATTCGTTACAATCTGAAAAATTAGTAATCGCATTACTACGCAATTTTCCATTGGCTTTTTTATACGTTGCCAACTACAAATTTTAAAATAATGAAGACTTTATGACAGGTCACACATGCTGACGAGTAGAATCTTTTAAAGATTTCCTAAATATCATAAATAAAAGCGACACTAGTTTGCAGTCTTGCTGTTAATGCTGTAAGATACTTGACAGTATTAGAAATGAAATATCATTGCTAGGGTATAAATCTTATTGTATTCGATATATATTAATTTTTTCGAAAAGTCTGATATATTAGTGAATAGACGCTAATTTACAGTAGACAGCCGCTGTGTAAGTAAGGTATGCTCGTATAAATTAATGAAGAAGCGAACATTGTCACTGACGTTCCATGTATGCATATTGATTATGATTGTAATGTTATTGTAGGCATTCAACAACTGGCTACAAATACCAGAGGATAAGTTAGCAGCTATCAGTTCTGTAGTGCAGATGTTGCATAATGCAAGCTTACTGTAAGTATAATCATTCTATAACTAATAATCTCAATTGTTTACCATATTACACCTTATTTGAGAGGTATCAGAAACAATTGAGGTAGATAAACCTACGTCTACTTTTAAATCAATTTAGTATTGATGATATCGAAGATAATTCAAAGTTACGCCGAGGGGTCCCAGTAGCACATCAGATCTTTGGACTTGCTCAAACAATCAATGCTGCCAATTATGTCTACTTTAAGGCAATGCATGAAATTTTATCTCTAAACCACCCTGATGGAGTAAAAATATTTACCGGTAAAGCATGAAATGCGATCATGGGTATCCTAGGATATAAAATTTATATTCAATACAGCACTAATTAGCTAGAGTATATTATTTTGATAAAAAATAGGGCAAAAATTTATAACCCATCTAGTTTTAAAGTCTTTCACTGATTAGCTTATGTTTGCTTCGATTATAAAATAGAGGAAATGTTGGAGTTGCATCAGGGGCAGGGTTTAGATATTTTGTGGAGAGATTCGCACAATTGCCCAAGCGAAGAAGAATATAAAATGATGGTCAATAAAAGTAATATCAGGATAACGATTTTGTACATGTGATATTATCATACTGCTGTATAGAGACTGATAGTACGTCTATTATTTTCAAATAAATTGCAATTTTTTATCAAGAAACTGGTGGACTCTTTCGCCTAGCTGTAAATTTGATGCAGCTGTTTAGCGAAAATAAACGGTATGATATTCATCGATAAGTATCAGGAATAATGATGTATCATACTATCAGATTAATAGATATACATCATTTCTCTCCTTTTATTTCAGAAATTTTACTCCCTTACTCAATTATCTCAGTTTATTTTTTCAAATTGGGGACGACTATGCAAATCTACAATCTACACAAGTATAACAAACGTTACTGTTCATGTCACTATTGCCTTAATGGTTATAGCGATACTAATCATGACTATTGATATATTTTTAGTACTCAAAAAATAAAAGCTTTTGTGAAGATTTAACGGAAGGAAAATTCTCCTTTCCAATAATACATGCAGCGCATACTGAAACAGGAAGAAACACTGTTCTAAGTATCCTTATAAACTATCGAACTACGAGTATTGCGTTGAAAACTTTACTATTTCGGAAATACTATTCTTAACAATATCATAGATATCGTTAGACAACGTACTACGGACGATCATGTGAAGCAATTTTGCGTGGAACTATTAGAAAAGGTGATTAGGAACTTTCATTATAATATGCTTTTTTATCGATTATTTCTTGGCTCAACTAATAACTTTCAAAGTAGGATATCAAAGCTTGACCTATTTATGTCAATCTAGGTTGGTTCGTTCTCGTATACAAGAGAAATCTTGCGGGGTCTTTCAGTGCAGTGCGTTCTATTTCTTTCATAAACTGAATTATCATTTAACTTAAAATCTTTAATGCAGCAATCTAGTATCGTAAACGATTAATAAAAGAAATTTTTTCTTAGAGTTATGGAGGAAGTTAAAAATCTAGGAGGCAATGAAGAACTATGCCAGTTATTGCAACAGTTATCTGTTGCTTTCAGTCTGGGTTAATTTGCCTTTTACAATTGAAGTATTTGGATGATTGTTTTCCAGAAATAGTGATTGTTGATGGAATGGTCGGATTTTATATATACATACTATAATTCTGTTACTTCGTTCCATGAATAATTTATGACCAACTCTACGATGCTATTATTTAACTAATAGTTAATTTATAGTATTTAACTTGTTTTGGAGATATCACTAGGTCTAAGTGATACAGTAATTAATCGATGTACTAGAGGTGATCATAATACTTATCGATTACTCATGGTCAGTATGCTATCATTACAAATCTAGATATCGTGTCTATGGAACTACTTTATAATGTCACGTCTATTTTCCTTATAGATAATTAATAGGAGAGATGATTAAGGAAAGACATGATAATGGCTTTCGTATAGCTTTAAAACTATCGATTATTTTTATTTCGATTTTTTATATCACCGTGGTTATCAATAAAAATGATTGCTACAGTTGGACTACGATTCATAATCTTATTGGTTATTAACACCCATAAAACGATCGTGTTCAAAACATATGCTATCATGGTAAAGTTTAGCAGTTAAATTCAACTATAGCTCTATGGTTAATCCTTTAAGTGAAATGAGAAATATACAGTTTGATTTTTCCTACAGAAGAAGAGAGCCATAAGTATACTTGAGGATACTGTAAATTAGTTTTGTTCTATACTTCCGAGATATTTATTAACTAGGGCATAATTTAAATTAATAACATGACATTGGCCTAATACAGTAAAGGGAGAGTAAATTGAATTACCCCAGATACACTATATATATGTAATATTGATAGAATAGGTAAGCTATTTATAAGAAAAAATCCACATCAATAAGTGTAATAGTTTGTATATCGTGGACATTGGTCGTTATTTTCAATTAGTAATTCAACCTTGTTTAGCAAGTGCTGTATAATGTAGTGATAAGATGGCACCACAATGAACAAAAATCATCTACGATAGTATATATATGAGTTCGGAATTTATTGCCTGAACAGCAATATATTTGTAAAGATACATTCCAGAATCACAGCAAGATCGACGACATAGAGAAACCAACTCTTACTAGCTGGTATTTCTTCAGTACGGATCCAGTAAAACTGAAAGAATGAAACATGTTAACATCCCTTGATTATTTGTACTGATATTTTAGCTGAATCGTAAATTAGTTGATTAAAAATCTTTGACTCATTATTGTAACAGGACTTACGACAACGATTCCAATTTGAGCGACGGCTATATTATGAGTTGTGGTTGGTATAAAAAAAAAATAAACACATTCATATATATGCATCGTTAGTAAATTCATTGAATAGCAAGTAAATTAGGTTGCTCTATTAGTAGTTAAGCTAGATAAGCGGCCCTATGACTGTCAATATTGAACGATATCAATCGTTCAATTTATACGTAATACTGTACTACTGTAAAGCTCATTTAACTTGCAATAATACCTATTTAATTAATTCTCTTTCAGTACGTTACAGTATTAAATATTGCGAGATTTGACTATTTTTCAATATACATGCATTAGGCAATGTAGGAACACACTAAAAGTATTAATCGATGAGTACTCTTACCAAGTAAGTTTATTCCTAGCAAGATATACAATCCATCGATAGCTACTGCACGGTATATGGACAGACCCAGTGTGATCTATACGTGTAGGAGTATAATAATTATGCAGCAATGAATAAGATTGTCCAAGTATGTGCATGACAGGTTAAGTAGGCAAAGATTGGTATAAACGAACTTACCAAAACCATGACAGTCGCGACGATAACGGAGACCAACTGGAAGATACGCTATTGCAACATAAAGACAGCAAAGTATGAATATTTCACGTTATGGAGGCACTGTTAAGGTGAGGAGTTTTTAGTATCCTCGTAAGCATAGCACAGTCATGGTATGTAGCTATGTACTGAATTTATTTTTGATACTAATAAGTAGATGTATACGTATTGATTGATGGATTGTGATATATTTCAAACTATACAGCAATTCTTAATGGCATTGCATTGCGAGATTGACGATATGTATTTTAAAATGTATACTGCACACTGCACAGCCATAATAATGGTATCGTATTCCATTGCCAGATGGACGACGTATTTTAAAATGTAGAGTACACTGCAAAGCAATAAAGTTAGTATTGTCTTTCATTGCGAGATGGACGATGTATTTTAAAATGTACGGTAATAAGGGTTCTTGGATCAACATGGATATGCAACTCCTATTGTAGGAATTAGATATCCACGTTGATCCGATTTATTATTTCTATTTGTTGGAGCTTTTCTGTCATTGATGTTTTAGCCGTAGCGGCTGCAACATTGTTCCTTCTACTGTAACGTGGGAATCTACTGTCCAAGTAGTCCTATTCCATGACCATGCCAATGATGGACATGATTCATTCTAGAATACAATACTATATACCTATCCATTTTATCTATTTCCTATTCTTGTCTTCTTGACTTAAGCGAAGCATCAAGATTGCTCCGTTTGTATTTCAATCTATACGATGCGAAACAAGACGAATAACATGTCGTAGCAAGTACTCTGTCTCACTTCGAAACTACCGTTATAATGTAGAACGACGATTTATGCGTAGCGTTGATCGTCGATATTCTATCTTTCAATTTCAACGATTCAAGCTCATTTACCATTTTACGGCCTGCTCCGGAATCATGGTTGACTTGTTTTTCGTTATCGGGTTGTTGCGATCCCTCGTCTGTAACCAATTTACTTCCTTCATCATCCGCCATTTCGCTGCTTGATTTATTGTACTCTTCCCTCTACAGGACTCGACTGCTACTTTGACTAAATTGCGCCCAGTGACCAAAGTTACTACCTCAAACGCTAGCTTACTCTATACATTTACCTTGCCTTGTAGACAAAAAGACAAAAACACAAAACGATAGCGCAAACACCACTTTCCATAACAGCAAACTGCCTCGTAGATCGAGCTGTATTGGTGCGCACTAGGCGACTACAACCTGTTCCCCAAACTACTTCTTATTCTCTGTATTCCCTATTGGCCTCGGCAATGTCGCCATGGATGGAGATTGCTAATCATGATGTCATAGTTGTTTAATTGTGCCATAAGACTCTATTGCGTTGGGAGAGAAATCCTTACTCTATCGATCTGTCGAGAAGACAACAACCTCTCTCGACTACGTATAACCTGCTGCCCAAAACTACCCCTTATTCCCTGTTAGCCTCGGCAATGTCGCCATGGATGGAGATGCTAATCATGATGTCATAGTAGTTTAATTGTGCCATAAGACTCTATTGCGTTGGGAGAGAAATCCTTACTCTATCGATCTGTCGAGAAGACAACAACCTCTCTCGACTACGTATAACCTGCTGCCCAAAACTACCCCTTATTCCCTGTTAGCCTCGGCAATGTCGCCATGGATGGAGATGCTAATCATGATGTCATAGTTGTTTAATTGTGCCATAAGACTCTATTGCGTTGGGAGAGAAATCCTTACTCTATCGATCTGTCGAGAAGACAACAACCTCTCTCGACTACGTATAACCTGCTGCCCAAAACTACCCCTTATTCCCTGTTAGCCTCGGCAATGTCGCCATGGATGGAGATGCTAATCATGATGTCATAGTAGTTTAATTGTGCCATAAGACTCTATTTCGTTGGGAGAGAAATCCCTACACTATCCATCTGTCGAGAAGACAACAACCTCTCTCGACTATAACCAAAATTACGCCTATTCCCTGTATTCCCTATTAGCCTCGGCAATGTCGCCATGGAAGGAGATTGCTAATCATGATGTCATAGTAATTTAATTGTGTCATAAGACTCTATTTCGTTGGGAGAGAAATCCCTACACTATCCATCTGTCGAGAAGACAACAACCTCTCTCGACTATAACCAAAATTACGCCTATTCCCTGTATTCCCTATTAGCCTCGGCAATGTCGCCATGGAAGGAGATTGCTAATCATGATGTCATAGTAATTTAATTGTGCCATAAGACTCTATTTCGTTGGGAGAGAAATCCCTACACTATCCATCTGTCGAGAAGACAACAACCTCTCTCGACTACAAGCTGTCCCTGTATTCCCTGTTAACCTGGGCATGGATGCAGATAGCAATCATGATGTCATAGTTGCTTAGTTGTGCGATGGGACTCCATTGATTGGGAGAAAAATCACTACACTATCCATCTGTCGAAAAGACAGTCAAGACAGAGAGGGAAAATAGACAATAGACAATTCAAATGATATTGATAATTTTAATGAACAACAAGAGAGACTTCATTAGAATGCGAGGCGAAAGTTATGCACTAACATAGAAGTCTATCATCCACTGTTACAACTAGCCAGGTGATAGAAGAGCAAAAACAAAAATCGGATCCATTCCATTCATTGATCCAAACAGTCTGTGCAACAAGAGGGATTTTTTTCCTGACTATTTTTGGGGGCAGATCATACTGTAGTCAACGAGCTTATGTGGGTAGAAATAGCTTGCAACTGGTCTTTATCATACGTCCAGTCATGGAGTTTTAGTCCAATGGAGAAGGACTCTCGGTCAACTGTCCACGCCAGATCTTAATCCAATCTACAGTAATGTACTACTTTCTCCATTGCTATTCTCCAAAAATACGCAGTAACTTGGTGGTCTTCATGTCGACTGATCACAGTTGACAGACAAGGTGTTTCCACCTTTGAAAGGCCATCAAATCTTGCACTGCAGTCGTACTAAGTCATCCCTGATTGGAGTAATAGTGAAAAAAGCAAAAGCAAACACGCTAAATTCCCCTTGGGCATTCTCCTATTCCACCAACAGTCTCCATGTTAAGTGTACATGACCAAGTAGAAGTGCAGCTAGCAGCTTTTTCTAGCTAGCCGCCTGCCATAATGATGTCATAGTCAACAACGCAGTTGTTGTATTGTGTACACTGCGCAGTATACAGTATACGGTAACTCAATAGAGGGTCTCTAAATGTACTTGTCAAAAGTCCTCGGAACGCAACAACAATCATGGCGGAACAGATTTATCAGGAAGATTCTCGTCGAAAGGTATACACTTCATTCTTAGCTTAATTTAGGAGTTGATGAACGTTGTTAGTTGAACGATGGCCTACTTCTCCTGTTGACAACGGCTTCAATTTCTATGGAAAATTGTGAACTGTATATCAAGTGACTGCACGCTTGGAGAGATACGGACGAGCCCAAGTAGGCCATCATACAACTGTAGTGGTACACTTCTCTTCATTGCAGTCATGGCCGATTCTACCGTCGTTATTTAGAGATACCAAAGCAAATGTAAAAGCTTTCTGTTCTTTCTTAACCTAATCTAAATCAAATGCAGTTCTACATGCTGTTCTTACTATACTCGTATATAACGGTAAAAGGAGGGATCAAATCCATAATGGACGTGCAGTACTCTACCATAAAAAGAAAGAATGAAAGTCAACCAGTGAGATGGATGTTCCACTCGTCAATCTGAAACAAAGCCATCAAAATACCCTTTAGTCTATCATTATACCTGGAAAGAGATAGCCTACTCATCATACCTTACAAATAAATGCGACTACGTTAACGATAGTTTTACTACGGTCGATTAACCAACGAATCATCGTAGGCAATAGGGAGCGCTATCACAGTACACTTTTTCAAGTACAGTACAACATGGATCTGCTTTGCAGATCTTTGCAACACAATACTGTACAGTATACTATACTTTACTCTACATAGGCCAATTTAATAGTAGTCCTGCTCGTTACCATCAGCTATCACAATCAAATTTTATAAACTACATTAGTACATTTGTAAATTTGTCAAGACTCGATGATGAAATTGGCCCCGTTGTTGAACCCTTATCCTTCAAGCTCTATTGTACAGTACAATAAGAGAGTGTCGTAAAGTAGATGTTAAATTTTAGGGAAGAAATTTTGTTATTAAATGTGTCCTTCATGGATTGCTTTAATCCTACTATGGACTTTACCAGGCTATCGACTAATCAACAAACTATCCAATTTGAAACTTGTGTCTTGCCTGTACAAGTACAATAAAATCAAGAAAAATCCGTTAATCATGTCTGATCCTAATACGCGTAAGAACGATGTGAAACAATTCAACATTGCTTATGCAAGGATTACAGAAGCACAGTAGACGCGTTTTCACTGGCCTTGTAATACTTCTATAGAAATACGCCTGCCAATGTTGAATAATTTTGCTCCATTTCTTTTTGCAGAAACTTGCCAGGCGTTTGACCATTCTGTTAACGCTGTGCTCATGTATAGTAAGTATGCTGTACCATACCCATATTCACAGACTACAGGGACGTCAATAATACGTTAATTATTTTTCTATATTCTTTTAGCTAGCACTTGTCTTCTGTGGTATAAAGTCAGCTACCAATCCAAATGTCAATTTCTTGACCGCTAATCTAGTCAGTAAGTGCCATATGATATTGCATTGGAGTACAGAAATACCTTTGGACGTATATAAAATTCCTGATTGGAATGCACAAGTTTTTGATATTATTACTCATGACTGCCTTCTAATAATTGATTTTCTTGCTGTTTAGTCTCCTCTTTGCTCGCATTAGTAATTGTAAGTATTGTAATTACACAATTCAATACCATGTCATGTCCAACTTGTAAACGATAGAATCCAAATAATCATAGTACAATCAATAATTAATCGACAGCAGTTGCTTATATAGGATACTCCTTACAATGTTTGATATTCATAGAAGTGATAATTCAATTTTATTTCTACTATATAGGTATTCTGGTATTACCGTGGAATAATAGTAAGTTAACTGCAACAAGATTTATATACATTCTCATTATTGAAAATGCCAGATAGTCACCCGTTATCGATTTGTAATTATACACTCTTACTACAGGATGCTACATTTTCCGATTTTATCTTACATTGAAATATTGAAGTAGCACTGAAGATGAGCTATTCAATCCTTACAGTAATATAACAGGCTTAACGCAATTCTTCTTATATCTTATCACAAATAGGGCTCGGAAAAGTCATGGTATATATGGTTTATTTGTTTCCTCTTCCTTTTCCAAAGCATCACTATCGATATCTTTGTTTGGCATCATGCTCCCAAAAGTAACAGCACTGTGCACCCTACTCATTCGATGCCAACTACAATGAATCCACATCACACTGGCCATCATGGAAATACTACCGGCCATGCAACTGGTACTGCAGCTACTGGCACTGGAACCCCAGCTGCTGGCACTGGCACACATGCAGCTCACACTACTCACGGGCGCTAATTTTTTGAATGGCATTCGATTTTTCGTTTGCAGTATTCTCATTTACTTTTAGTAGCTAAGTGCTTCAACCATTATGTATTCTAGTTGTACTATATATTACTCTCTAACAATGATGGCCGGTATTGAGACTTTCTTAAACTGTAAAAGTGTACTATGATTTATTGCAACATAGTAACTCATCATTCGTTCTGTATTTAGAGCTAGCTATTCATTATATTTGTCAATTACTAGAGTTATATATCTTATCTATATATCACAATTTACCTATCGTTATATTATTAGTCCGTTTCTTCTGTTTTTACATCTCAGTTTAAGGTAAATCTACGAGTTTAAATTCCATTCTAGAGGTGGTATAAAACATAATATCTACTTGAACTATTATCATACAGTATCATAAGCGTTTTAAATTGTTGTAAGTCGCTTGGAAACTATTCGCCGATAATAATCTGTCGATATAAAAGCAATCATGCTTATAAACTACAACCTTCTATCCGTATCGAATCGTATCTTACGAAATGAACTGTAATTAACTTGAAGAGATACACTCTTTACGATTACTAGAGATATTAGAATACTGGCATTAGGAGCTGGATATTCTCTCTTATCTATATGAATTGTGTTTAAGAGCAGATTTATATCCCGCACCAAACGTGATACCATATTGATAACATAAGACCCTTCAACTTCTATAAAATGAGGCCATATTCTTTCAATTGTATTAGTATGACTAGTTGCAACTATCCTTAATGACAGCATTATTAACGAAGAAAAGTCTAAATTTTATTTGTTTCTTAACTTGTTCAATTGTTAGTAAATGTATCCTTAATCCACAAAGTCTTACAGGAGCATTTAGAAGTTCTTGATTGGATGAAATCGACATTATCAATAACCAATCGTTTGCAAAGTAAAGCTATCACTGTTTCAGCAAATTAGAAACCATAAAAAATATCATTGTGCGTAGCTCAAGATTGGCTTGCATACACGATAATAACGAACGTTGTTATCGCGCATATTTAGCAGAGATTTTCTTAAAGGTGTAAAAAAATTTTGATGGCATTTTGCTCTGTTAGAACATCATATATGCACTAATTTACTGATTTAACCAAATCTCAAAGCAAAGCAAAAAATCGCGTTATACCCTATGAAGTAGTTGAATAGAAAAAGCTAATCGCTGAAAACAATATTACATAGTTAAATAGAAGAGTTCTTTACAATTTAGTTAATCTTTCCAATATGATACCGTTAGAAGCAATTCATGAGATATAGGCTAGATTTTGAAACGTTTAAATTAAAGTTTCTAGAATAAAATGGCACTGATATTGTACAAAACAGCTGTGTTAACATGGAATAATTGAAATATGGTAACTGATATCAATATTTGCTAGCTTAGCTCCATTCTTGCTTTCACGACAGATGTCGATTCAGTTAATTAAGTGTTACAGTTTCACGAAACTGCAGTAATTTTGATTACATCTGCTACTTACATTGCTTCTAATCGTAGGTAGTTACTATAATAACATAGTTATCGAGTACAACGCGATTGTACAGTGAAACTTTAACTATTCTACATAGAATTATTGACGAAATAAAATAAAAGCAGTCAAGCTTCCCAGCTTTGGGTAACTTAGAAATCGACGATGCCTAGTTGAAGTAACTGTATATAAAAAATGCGATCACTATTAGACTATAGATGCTATCAAGGAAGGCAGTAAATACAAAATAACTGATATCATAACCTTTCTTATTTAATGCTAGTAAGAACAGAAATTTAACTCTTGAATATGGATACTACAGGAATTGATGTAAAGTATTTATAGTAAATAAATGAATAACTTACCTTATGTCTTAATAATCTATTTTTATCGCGTTCATTTTTTAACTCGCTGTCTAGATTTTCCACCTAACAGAAGTAACATAAAGCGAGCAACAGAATCTAAAGTTATAAACTGATACTTTATGCTCAAATAGGAGATTAAATAGATGAAATAGGTCTTTATTTATACCTTCTTTTTCAGGTCATCAATTTTACTATTTGCTTTCTCTAATTTGAACTTAAAGACTTCCTTGTCAGTCATTGCACGTTGTCTGTCCATCTTCTCATTTCTGTAGTTATTTTCATAGAATGCTACCTAATAGGGTTAAAAAAGAAAGGGTAAAGTTTCCAAATTCATATCTTATCGATATGTAAATGCGCATTAAATATTAAATATTAATTCTTTTAGCTTACATATAAAACACTGACTACATATTAGTTATTATTACAATAAATACAGACACAATCTTAAATGACTAAGAACACCATAATCTAAATCCTTAAAGTTTTACTGATCATGTTTTGCTGTTATAATAATAATGACTCATTTATTATAAAGTTAATATGAAGTATCCGCTAAATGAAAGGATAAGACCTACTCTATTTTTTTGAAATTCTAATTCATCAGTTAACTCTTCCCAAGTCATTTCTTCCGCATTTGTCGTCATATCAGAAATTGTACTTGCCGTAGGAGAATGCGCTTGACTTCTTGGAATACTCATCTCGCTACTTGTTCGATATAATCCACCACTTCGCATTGATCCCAGATTGCTGCAAGAGTCTAAAGTGTACTGCTGTCGAAGTCGCTGAGATCGATTTTCTGTTTCGTTCGAAGAATTGCTAATGACGTAATAGAAATTAGATATTGAAATTTACCTGTCGTGTTTTGTAAACTTATTAAGACCAAAAATACCAATTGAAGAAAGTTTTGATTTAATAAAAACTAGCTACCCCCGGGAATTATAGCAATCGCTAATACAAAGTACGCTAATTATATTATCAAATTACAAATCAATCTAAATCACAACCGTATATAAATGTTATTGTACTAGCATTTATAAGAAGGTAAATAACCTTGACCATTAAGTATATAACTAGTAGATTGAGTCTGCACTCTGAGGTTATAGCTTTACTAAATTCAAAATTTCACTTTCTATGATGATACGGTCATATCGCCGGAATATCATTTGGAACAGGTCAAAAATATCAAAATTAGAATACTTAATAGATTACAGTAAGTGGATATAAGATCGACCATTGACATTGGCATATACTCGAGTTTCTTGTACTATAAGTAACGCTCGCCTTCTTTGAATATCAAGTTATAAATCAAATCGAAAACTGAATTAATGTCTGCAGTGTTTTTACATGAAAAAGTAAATTAAAAATGAACTGAGGCAATTTCTGAAGATGCTGCAGAAAAAGGATGATATTAAAATAAGCAGAAATGGAGAAGTACAACAGCCGTGAGGGCATAGTAGAGAGTAAAACTATAGTGGGGAAATAATTCATTCGTAAGCTCGAACTGCTCTACTCTATAGTCAGTGATAAATTCCCAGTCTTCCTTACAATATTTTATATCGAAACTACATCACTGCTATATTGCAGCTGCTACTGAATCCCTTGAGTAAACTATCTACATGTACAGATTGAATATAGCGGTAAGTATATTAAACTAACGATTAGAAAGACATTAGTTAAGCATAAGGAATTAAAAGACTTTTAGAGAATGTAATCGAGTCTGATTGTTCACTTTATATCGGGAAGATGATAATTCCTCCTTCATGCCAGCAGTATATTAAGTATTTCAGGCTATTTGTACTGTATAAACGATTCTGTAGGACAATAGGGCGACTTATAGCAAAGTAAACATAAAAGTTTCAGTAAAATAGGTATGTAAAAAAGATCTTCACCAAGGGTAGAAAGTAAAATAGCGAATTAGAAAAAAATGGTCCATTAAATAATCCCTGCTTCACTTCTACTTGTCTACAGTAATAGAACACTTAAATTATACATCCAAACGACTGCATTACACGTAACTATTTTCAATTTTAGCATCATTAAAACTATCCAACATAAAAAAAAGAAATACTTAAGATTCTTTCAAAGTAAAGAAGAATTTAAAAGTATATAACGCTTACTTATAAGAGCGAAATAGCCCTGATTTCTCGGTAACACGCTGCAATTTCTCTAAATTAGCTCTTGCTTTATTTTGATTGATCTCAATAGCTTCATAAGTCTCATCTAGTTGTCTCGTACAAATTGCCAACTATAAAATATGACAGAAAAACATTTCAATGGAACATTTTTTAGTACTGTGCTGGTAGCATGATTGATCTTAATACTAAGAATAAATGATTCCATTCTGCAAAGGTGTTTTACTTCGTCGTTTCTTCTATGCAGATGAGAATACTTTCGTTCTAAGTTATCTACTTTTTCACTTGCTTCTCGTAATTGCCGTTTGACGCGCTCTCTTCTAGTGCTGGCCGTAGTATTAGACTAAAAGATTGATCGATTATTAGAAGCATTTTATGCATTTGTATACTTTCAATAACAAAAATGGGCATTAAACAGGGGAATTCTAATCTTAAACATCGTAAATTACTGATTGAAAAGGTGTCATAGAGATCACTTTTCACTATCTTCAAAATGCTTACCCGGTAAGTTCTTTCCGGTACATCAGATTCTCTAGGATGATTCATGTTTTCGTCGAAAGAATAAGATCGATGATGGCTAGTATCGTTGTCTGAAGTTTGTAAGTATGTATGATCGATACAGCTTAATTTTTTGTTGTTGCGTCTGCCTCCACTAGGCAATGAATTGCTTTCGGCCATTGGCAGAAATTATTTTAGCGCTGCACAACTATACATTAGCCGAAAAATTCACCATAAACAGATAGACTTGATTAGATATTAACAAAGCTTTAGTCAGAACAAACCTAAAATTCTTGAATACTAGCTACATTATACCGCTAGAATGGTTGGGATTACCGAAATTTTTAGTGACTGATTATTACTATAATGATAGAAATTAAAGATATCGTACATAGCTAGTCTTTTCAAGAAGTTATAACGAATAGACTATGTACTTGCTTATATTTTTATCAGGCAAAAATAACGGTTAATGTCAGTGATTGGTAGCCATCTCACAAATCTTACATTTTATGAATGTAAAAATCATGACAATACCCAAGCTTCATAATCAGCAGCAGTTAATAGTTTTAAAAATTGAAAGAAAAAAGCATAACCTTAAGTAATGCGCTGATTTATAGCTAATTTAGTAAAGATAAGGGGCTATGCTATAATTAGGTAATATAAATGTGAGATATAGATGTGATAAAAATTTTCGACAACGGACGGAAAAAGAATTAGTAATCATCTTTAGTAGAACGGTCATAACGTGTTAAAAATAAAGAGTAGGGGTGACATTAAACATGGTTTGAGCAATAAAAAGCAAGAGGTACAGATTTAACAAATTAAATTTCCCTAAACTTGAAGAGCAAACCCATAGAGTTTCAGCGAAAGGGCGACTTTTATTTAGGAGTTTAAAATCAGGGCAGAGATGTGACTGCAACACTTAGTTCAAGCATATAACTGCTAGGTTAAAAAATATTATAATAAATACTTTCAAAATTCGTAGGTAAAAGAATTAAGATTATTTTTAAGTAAAAAAGATAACTTTTATGTTCTTAAGGTCAAGACTAGAGGCGAGGTTTTGTTATTGCTAAACGTAGATTAAAAAGAAGAGTTAAAAATAAGAAATACTTTAGAAATTGAAAGAAAGAAGCCAATAATTCTTTCATAACGAGGCAACCTTTAAGTGTTTAAAATATGACGGAAGTTATTTGATTTAGGTAATAAGATATGATAGATACCCAGGCAAATTGATTCTAAGGATTCGAAATTTCAAAAACGCCACTTTATATACTTTTTTTTATTAATTACTGGCATATGGCTTGTCTTGTTGATTTTAAAGCGATATAAGCGGTGTAAATCTGATAAATTGTAGAATAACTAGTCTAGCATACCTAAAGCTCAGATAGTGGCAGCTATCAATGAAGAATATTTCAACATTTGACCTTGGTATTAAAATATGTTCTTGAATCTATTTCTGGGTAGTTGCTGTTTAATTCAACGATTTAAAATTGAGAATGAAGGAAAATAGGAAATTTTATATTGTCAGAATTGGAGCGTTTTTATAAATCAAAGCGTTCATTGTGGTGTTGTTTATAAGAAATGATCAAAGTTACCTATTTGACAGTTTAGAATTTTGATAGAGAACTTAAAGTTAAAGTGATCGTAGTAACCGATACGAGAAAAGAACTGAAAGATGTGGGACAGTAGCAGATTCTGATGGAGGTCCGTCAAAAGTAAATATTCGTCTAAAATATCTTATGAAATTGGGGTCAAGATAGTGCGGTACATATCGTGATTAACAAACAAATATATGAAAAGTTTGTCGGCGGTGCTAGGGAAAATTTAGAACAATGTAATCCAACTTCAAGCAAGGATTTTATTACCGGTCAATTTGAGTTAAAGTAACTTCTTGAAAGAACTTTACTTAGTTAGAAAGCCAAGAGGATCTAAAAAAGCGACGTTTTACCTATGTTCTACGCCGGCAATGTGCTATTAAAAAATCCGCTGGCCATGAATATAGTTCTTCTTTATTGAGAACTGACTGTACGGGTATATTTATATATGTAAATTTATGCAATGCGCAACTGGGTAAAGGATACTGATGACATTATTAATCAATTTATGCAAAATGATGTAGGAGAAAGTATTGCGAGAAAATCTTATCTGTTCAGCTAAAGTTCTAAGTAGTCTTCTCAGGATTATACTTCATTATTTAGATAGATTATTTAGTTTCACTGACGATATGTACATGAACTACAGAAGACATTTTCAATCGGCCAATTTCTCTCAACTCGATGAAATAAAGCAAGTAGTTCTGAACTTTGTCATATACGTCTAACTTTGAAGGAGTTAATTAATTACTGAAAAGTAAATGTAACTTTAGTAGGTCATAAACAGTGTAATAAATGATAAAGCAAAAATTGACTTTCGTTTAAGAAAGAATTTATCCTACTCGAGCCAATTTAGTCGATGCTGTGACATAATGAGAAATTGAAGCTATACTCGTAATTTAACGACCACATGCGGTACAAGCAAATTCGTCAAGCATAAGCTTGCTTAACTATGTCTAATATCCAGGTATTGTAGCCGTTCCCTATGGGAATATTCTTGCTAACCATAAGCAATAATGAAGTGTTGTAAATATAATTATGCAAGAATAGCGATATGACTTCTAGCCATTACAAAGGGGAACATCATTAGGTGTAAAATTTTCTGTTTCGCACAGATATTTTAGTTCATCATGATCTATATATACCTAATATGACTAATGAGCCAATGATGAAACGAAAATATTATTAACAGCTTGTACAACAAGTTACCAGAACACAATTTATGAATTTAAGTCATGTTTTCAAAGGATATGACAAAGAACTTCATGTCAAAGAGTTTCAGCTAGTTATAATGATTAGCAAGAACTGAAAAAGTAATTTAAGAGTAGCTTATGGTAGGCTTATAGATTGGAATTAACGTTATCGTAAAAGTCTAACTTTGCCAATCAAGAGAGTACCATGCTGATAGAACTGATTTGATAAGCTTTTATCCATGAAAATTGTAGATTAAACTCTTTCTCTACGATATATCTTGTGCACGTCTTTTTTATATTAAAATTTTAAGTAAAAGGGTAAGAAATATAAGTCGGAAGAAGTTGAGCGGCTATGGATATGAATCTTTCATCGATAATCATTAGAATTTGGACATAGAAATAGGTAATAAAATACTTGAATAAAGTTCATATTATTGTACGTAAAAAAATTATTCTTTTGGTCCTTTTTCGTTATATATTTTATCCATAAAACTTTTAACTAGGCAAAGATATTAATCTACTACATAATTAAGTAACTATTAATGCTATCTACAGATATTACTGGCATTTTAGACGCAGAAAGCCCTGTTATTAGAGTAAAGGTCATATATTGCATTATAGTCGCTAAGAAATGCCTTTTCTGATTTTTTCGCTCAATTTCTCTCAAATATCAAAATATTTTCTGCTAGTAAATGATTATCTTTCTGTATTATAATATTATAGAATTTAAAGCTTAAAGATTCAAGAGGATGTAATTTTTGTCTATCTTTTAGTTGAACCCATATGACTCATAAAATGGAAATTTATGGCATTAGTGCTTTGGTATAAAGTCTACTTACAACCATAGCTGTGACTTTGAATATTTTTGCACATCAGTATAATTTAAATTAATTAAAAATTTGCTTTTCTTAAATCTTACCATCTTGGATGAAATCTAAAGCTTCAATTTCAATAGAATGAAAAGTAATTATTTTAAGGTAATCACGTAGAAATGGCGGCGACAAGAGAGCGTTTTAGAATAAGAGCATTTAAGTTAATAATGAACTATTTTAATAAGAACTGTTTCTATAATATTGAAAAATTGCGATTTTAATATCCTACAAATGCTACATTGTCTATCAGTTAGACAGATGAGTAATATTGCTTGTAGCATAGAAAATTAGTATCATGACGGTGATGATCAGGCATCATAGTGCTAAGTGGTGCCATGAATTTATAATTATTATTTTTACTGTGACGAATATAGTAAGCCATTTCACACAATACTAAATAACGCGATAACGTAAAATATGAAAGGATATAACAAGATCAGGTGGGAAGAATTCTTCGTCATATGACTGCAATTCATATAGTTATGATAGATGATGACATAAAGTTAACAAGTCTACTTTTAAATTAATAATATTGTCTTCATAATAAGGTGACAACAAGTATAGACAGCAAGGATTCGCTGATTTAGATCTGGAAATGGTTACATAAAATAAAAGTGCAGTAAATAACTCCTATTGAGAATAGAAATGTCAATACTAGCAGAACAATTAGGGGTAAAATATTGAACTTGAAAAATGACCTAGTTTCTGCCAAGTTACAATGAGATCAACTATGATTTTTCCGTTTCTTAAGCACTCGAATCGATAAAAATAAAATTGAAAGATTGACTCACCATTATACTAGGGAACAACTGAAGTAATAACTTGATTGGCAATGCAGTCGATGAAATCGATTGCTTTTATCTTTATGCGACGATCGGAGTAATCATAGAACCAACAAGTTAGTAATTGAATTTTAAAGTACAGAAGCTAATAATACCTTGTATTGCTCGTGAGATAAACAATATAATGAATAAATATTGCACTGTGAAGGGAAATAGGTCTAATTACATTCTAAAAATTATGCCTAATTTGGTTATAAAAGTGCCTATGTTGCCCTACTATTTATCAAATAGAGCTAAGAGTCGTCATTAAATATTTACACGAATGGTTTATAGGCAGTCAAGACAGTACTGTATTCAACATTCTATTGACATGTTTGGCAAATTGAATTAATTATATCAACTTGATAAATTTTGAGGTTGGTTTTTAAAGCTAAAATAATACAGTACAATTGTGGGACTAATGTTGAGAATGGATTACATCAAGTGATTGTCAAATTAAAATTATCAAACGGTAAAGTATTTCCTTGTTTGTCTAATTTTTCTAGCTAGACATATACGCGTATGCACACCTTTTTTAGGAAATCCAAGAAAATTTATGGCGGCCATAAGCTGAGAGCATAATAATAGTTGGGGCTATATGACTAATTGAAATGGTACCAATAGATAATAGTGGAGACAAAAATTAAAGGTTGAATAAATAAATAATCACATGTTACCTCAGTGGTACAAAATTGTTTTTAT